CTTCTGTACATAGAAGACCGAGAACAGTTTCATAGTCTTGTTCGTTAAAAATTACACTGCCAAATTACTCAGCAGTGGTAATGCATGGAGTGAACCCGGTTTGCTAGCAGTGGGCGTTCCGTGAAACATTGTTATTGCCCGTAAATCCAGTACAGATTTTATGTACAACTCATGTTACCTAATCGGTCCATGGAACAAACTCCACAACTTTCATGGAAAAAACAAGTACCATCGCGCTAGTCCGACGTCTTGCACAAAACCCTAATCAGCCACCCAAAGCTTATTGAAGCTTCCGCTCTTCGACTAGCGGATGCCCCAGTAAAAGTTGTATGCATGTATAAGCTACTCCAGAAGTCCCGGCGTCAAATACAGATCCAGAATTCTGTGAGCTGTGAAACGACCCTGCAAGAATATAAGACTGTCTGGCGAATCAGGAATTGGTATTTCCCGTATCACAGCAAGTGGCGTGAAATTTCCCGGACATGTTTGAGTGGGTTGTGTCAAGAAAATGTCGTGTGCTGGTGGCACTTCAAATGATGCTGTGTTTCGTCTAAGTCTGGCCATGTAAAATAGGCATTGGAACCATTTGGGATACGTATTGCGCTTACTGCATGTCCAATAGGGCATAGCTTCGCGTGATTTATGCAAAAAAGTATGGGTCCTATATACAATGTATTTGAGCATGATGTGATTCTCAAATTTCAGTTAGTCAAGTTTCTCGGTCATTTGGTTCAAAATATTTCAGTAATGTGGGCATGCTCCAAAACGTTTGCTTGTTTCATGGTAATGACTAGCAATATATTGAAATAATTTCGTTAATGAATCTAGGAGTGATCGGAAGGAATACCTATGAATGAACGAGTGAACCAGACGTTTGAAAACGGTACCCTGTTACACTGCAACCACTGCCATTGAGGAAAGAGCTTCACATATTTTTAAAGCCATAAGTTAAGTATATTTCTCTATACATATTTTTTAAAGCCATAAGTTAAGTATATTTCTCTAGGTTTAGGTGAGGTTAGAATGGATCACTGACAAATTTTCACTCAACTGTCGCTTGCTTGTCGATTTCCTGACCGCTGAGGATCGAAAATATCTTGTGAATTTTTTTCGCAGTGTCAGGTGAAGGTGTCTGAGGCGGATTCTGATCTTTCGACCGCATCCTATTAAAGTGAACCGAAATCACACTGACGCAGAGTGGCTCGTGACCAGCAAGTGTGGTTTTTGCACAGTTCAAAGTGTGAAGAGAAGCGGATATTTTCATGATTGGCTGGGGATGCACTGGCTTTGTGAGAGCGAATGTACGGTAATGTTCAGAGAATGCATAAATATCATGGACGCGGTTGAGTGCGACCCGCAGCCTGAGTAGGTTCGCCCCGTTAGTCGGTGTTATCGCGGTTCATTAGAGATATTGAATGCAATGTGATCATGATATTGCGTTTATGGTTTTTGGTTTTCAGTGTCACTTACGACGTAATAGTTTGGAGTTTTCGAGCAATCATCCAAACGTCGCAGCCGCACACCATGTGTTTTCAGTGGATCGCACACTTATTTTTGGCTCTGTGCATTTCAGAACGGACGTACTGCATAATTCACACCACCTTTAAGCACCCACTGGTGGGTTCCAGGCCTTGCCTCAATGTCCTTGACAACGGGGTTTCAAAAGTGCAAATTTAACTACGTGTTGTACTGGCTGGTGCCTCTTTAGACATACATTTCTTACAGTCATCCGGTCGGTGGCAGAAATCGTCATAGTTATGTCGAAAAACGAGTAAGTTAAATGTAGATAACGCACTCTGTCTGGACTTTTTATGCCAGTTTTCCTGGACAACCAGAGCAAATTCACCAGTCGGGAATCGTCGAAATGTCCGACTGGATCGTTCAATCACCTCGGTAAATTCAGTCACCGTTTCGTTTGCTAGAGCAGTCGGTCATCGACAGCACGAACGTAAAAACATGGTTTGTTCCGTGTTTTCGGTGCTGTCGTGTAAATTGTAATGACTGCGTTTTTCATAAGAATATATTTGATGACTCTGGTTGCGTGTTCATGTGAAAGCCACTTGGAAACAAAGTACGCTCTACGGTTTAAATGGTTTTCACCGCGGGCCAAGAAGTCCTCCTATCATTTAATAGCAGCAGTTGCATCGTCGGTGATTCTCCCCAACTAAAAAATATCAAGGATGTGTCTGATGTCCGAGCAACCGAGATTGAATCCTTTCCTTAATTTCTTACACTGTAAAAATCATCTTGTTGAACTCAGACGAGAAATTTCGCTTTTCAAAATTTTTGAGATGCCACAACGGTGTCATTTCATGCGCATCTTGTCAGGGGAAAACTACCGCGGGGGTCAGCTAGTGGATAATGCGGAATTCCTTGGCCTTGGGTTTGGTCCTGAGGCATCGCGCGGTGGAACCAACTGCTCGTGTGGTTGGTTACTGTGGAGCCGTTTCAGCTTCCGCCCTTCGGGTATAATAATCACTTTTCCCGATGGGCGGAGAATAAATTAATAATCCTTTTCCACATAACCGAAGAATTGTCTATGTGCATCTATTCCCCAGCGGGGACAGTGAACGGGTGTCTGGCGAGTGCACAGCTGAGGGCGCGTTCTTATACTTATGTTGGAGAATATCTAAAATAATACATCTAGTCCCATTTGGTTACATTAAGTTTTCAGCCAAGCAGCATGATTCCTCCAGAGATTAGAGATGTCAGTCATTCCGATTACACATCCGATTACACATATATTATTTCTGTATTTTCCTTGTGCTTGCATGCACGAGAAACCAACTGTAAGATCGATGTCGTACGAGGTAGACTGGGCGACGATGTATTTCTCGTGTGCAACGAAATGGTATGAGCCTTGGCGACTACCTAGTTATGTTCAATCAGGTTCATACAGTGAATATACAGTGTTCATACAGTGTTGAATGCGGGCTTTTTTTGACTAAATTGGTTTTCGGTGGATTATACCTACCGTCCAAATTTTTCCTAAAATTGAGAACCTCGCAAATATTATTATTGATGATCAAATTTGCCATAGATTCACGAAATACATTTCCTGTTTTTTCTCTTGCAACAACATACGGGCACAAATTCCTTGAACATTCAAGCTAGCCTACCCACTACCATCGCGAAGCAATCGTATTCGTGTCCGTCAAAGAGGGTTCATAATGAAGCACATAGACGGATATCCACTGCTAGGTAGGGGACGCATTATCTTCGGATATCGAACAATATATATATTTGGGAGGATAGGTTTTACGACTGCCAGAGAAACGCCGCAGAAATCCCAATCGGTGTCTGGATTGTTTCAGGGTTTTTCGTTAGATTAGAAAGCTCGGACACCGCCTCGGAGCATACTCAAGCATGACTTTTGCCTTTTTATTTACAAACACTTCGGAGGCAGAAAAACCGATGGCACTTTGGGTTGAAGAGATTGTCCCCAGTACGCGCACAAGGACATTTGACTACGCCGGGCCTTTGGAACGAAAATGACATTTTTGCCGAGGCTGCTGAAAACGCTTGAGTTACCAAAGACACTGCTTGAAGTCTGCAGGTGTCCGTTCCCAGCAGTCATGTTCATGTTTCTAAACACTAAGCGACACCATTCACAGTGCCTGTACAGTAATAAAATAATATGGCTATTCCAATACATTCATCGTTAGTGAATGATTTTGTCATCGCAGCAACAAAGATAGTGTCTGGTAATTTTCACTTCTAGCTAATAGATTTTGCGTCTTCAATTTTGGACCCAGAAGGTCTGAGCACGGAAACAAAACTTTCCCACAATGCTTCACGATTCGCAGGATACACGATAACTTACAAGTCAGCCTTTGCTGCAAACCTTGGTCAGATATGGGGGCGATAATCCTATGGCAGCGGCAAGTGATTCGCTTCCCGTCCACTATGCTTTCGACGAACTTCCAAGACGTCGAAATTAAAGGCAAGGTGCCACGATATCGTGAATGTTTCAGCCTTGTATACGAAATCTCTTGTTGCGAAAGCCAGAATCTAAATATTCTGGAATTCGAAATTGCCCCCATTTGCCATTTTGAATGTGGCAAGCGTTGGAGGACAGGGGTTATCTCAGGTCACTCTGTCGCAGAATTATTATTTTTTAAATGCGACACAATCGTATTCCATTTTCTGTGCCTGATATACGTCAAAGGATAGATGAAAAACTGAACTTGCTGAATAGCGTTATTTTGCACACACTGTCTGCGTAGGCGGACAGACTGTCTGACAAAAATATTTCTTACGGTTATATGCCACAAGTGAGCCTACCTGGGAAACCGGAGATGGCAAAAAAATTACTGGCCTAAAATTATTAAATAATAGTAAAGATAGCTTCAAAATAGAACAGATGACTAAAAATATGTCCATATCCCTTTGACCATTTTTTGATTCCGCAAAATATTTTCAACCCTCTGAGAACGATTATTTGTCTGACGCTCAGGACACACGGAAATTCTGTCCACCCGTCCAAAACTGCTTTCTGATCGGATTGTTTCCAAAATTATACCAATTAGACAGGCTTGCAATTGCTTTTTATCGAATCGCTTCGTTAAAACCTCGCGGTCCATACCAAATCTGTTCATTCAGAGTATGAAGCGCATGCTGCTTACGATTTTCTTATTAGGGAATGGTATTCATCCCATTTCCCGCGTTTGATCTCATTGCCCAACTGCGTCGTTCAAAACATAAACCATAGGATACGTTTTATGATATTAATTTAGGTCTACATGTACCCTTACTCCCTTGATTGTTTGTGTTTAATTCATACGCCAATTTCTCTTCAGTAAGCTCGTTGGCACATCTTGCCGATTCGTACGCACCACTTGGTAAGTCCGTATGTTTCTTCACTCCTTTTGTGGATGTCATTTTGTGCGCACCGGTGGAAACGTGCTCGGTTATCCAACAGATCCAAGAGTGATACTTGTTCAGTTGAACTTATCATTAGACTCCAATAGCTCTGTTCTCTCAAGATGAGTGTGCCGCTGTCAGATTCCATCAGATGAATACGTATTTGGAGTGAGGGTAACACTGATATCCACATCAACGTCCCTTATACACAAAAATCGCATCAAAATATCTTTTTTGATCGGTTCAATAACGTGCAAATTTCTGTGCACCTTAGGACTACGATTAACGAATTCATCCCGCACTTCACATGCTAGTGTTTGAGTGGCGCTTGCTGGGGTTTTAAGGATCCCTGATGGGTGTTTTGACTGATGTCTTGCATAAACCGTACCTTTGGAAGACTCGGCAGGCATAATCTGCGAGAAGCAACGTTTTGCACCTGGAATATATGAACAAACTTTGCTCTTTCAAAGCCAAAAATTGCGGACCATGTTTGCTGAATGATTCACGTGGTTACCGGCGATCACGGGGTGGCTAATATAATTTATTCTTTTTCGAAAGCGACAGTACACGTTCTCGAAATTCCCTGTCTTACAGAACGTCCGCCACAAGTTGCGTCCTCCAAATACCTACCGGTTAAAGACTCATGAATTATTTATTTTAATGCTCATGTCTGTCAGAGTTGTCGGAGTCACTTAAATTCCGCAAACGTAGGTTCTTCTGTGAGACTGAAATCTACCTAGTTGTAAATTCCATACAAAATGTAGTGCGGCACCACTAGGCATCAACTACCGACATTTCTGATGTTGGCTGTGAAAAATAAGATCAGCAATTGAGCTACACAGCAGCTTGACGCCAACTGATTACTCACCTCGCGAATTACTTGGACCTGTTGTTCCATCTCACGGTCTTTCCGATTAGAGATCAGTTAGTTCTAAATTGTCCAGGCTACTGATGCTTTTCGAACACACGTGAATTCGCCTAGGCGTTTCTGCAAAGGACTATGGCTTTATGGTTCAGTGTGACTGGATTGTAAACGACCGAAATTCAAGGAACATCAACTGACTTCAGCGGATATTCATCCACCCGCATTAAAGCAAAGCGGAATGAATGTCTTCCTTTTACACCAGGGTGCGTTTACTAATACCACGAGCCGCTTGGAATGCAACATTGGGATTCGAGCTGTTTTAGCCGATAATCAGAAGGGCAAATTTCTCTACATAGTATGTTCACGGCAAGAATTCGTTACTCATTTCAATCCCGAAAGTAACAAGCGACATTCAATTCCCTGTCCACCGCTCCGAATCCGGTTGTGCTGCTTAAAGACAGATTCGTACAAATTTAACTTGCTGCAAATTATTTGGTTATTCCATTGCGTTCTGGATGCCAGGGTTTCGCCGGAAACTGGAATGCGCACAAGAGTATGTTTGGACCTCAATGTGAATTTGATAGGCTCTAGATTGCGCATTCTTCATTCACTTCAAAATCACCGCTTCCGTTCTCTGAGCATAACAAAGAAGAATAGAAAGATTGTTTAAGACATTGTTTGATTTGCGTTTCGATAGCTAGAAGATAAACCCCACTCGGACACATGTGAATAAGCGTACTGCTGGTCAACTGCTCCGTTTTGTCCTAAGAGATTAATTGTTTCCATTTTGTTTCAGATGCTAAGCATCACGAAACCCTGAAGCACTCAGTCATGACTCCCACATCTGCTCCTTTCAAACATCAATAGGAGACTGTGAATCACAAGCACATTGGACAAACGCACACGTCCACCCCCGATTAAGTGCTACACCAATGTCCAAAATGTCCAAAAGTGTTTCGGCACGCTAGCCGGCTTCGTCAGTACATGGAAACTCATTCAGATTTGAGGTCATACAAACGTGATTTCTGTGCAACAATCCTTAAGTCACTCCGAAATAAGAGAGGTCATCTGGTAGAAAAACACTTCGACAAATTGGCAGCCGGTGGGCGCACAGTCAACACGAGAGACATAAGGCTTTTGAATTGGAAAATCTTTTTATGTCATTACTGCGGTAAAACAATGCGAACTCAAACCGCGTTGGAGGCACGTGCTGGCGTTCACACGGAGAGCATACCATTTGCTTGTGAAGTGTGCAAAATGACATAGGAATTCTTCAAGTCTGACAAGACATACAAAACAATGCCGGCGATACATGAGTACTGCCAGCTGGTGTCTTTGATCGAGCGTAGCGTGTTCTTTCCAGGCTAATATCAGGCACAATGAAAATAAAACAACAAAATTCACTACGCTCGCAAGTGGGTGATCTTTGTCGTTGTCTAGAGATGTCAATCTTCGAGATGTAAAGTATCATCCAAATCGATTGTAATTTCCAGTTATGATTCTGGGAGTTCATGACACGAAATTCACTAGACTGCCGAAACAATTTTTTGACCACTGTGATGTACGAAAGAATTGCAATGAGTTTAATGTAGTATTTTCAAAAGCGCTACAGTCCTTCAGGAAAAGCCTTTAGATAAGCGGACGAACCGTACCGAAACAAACAACGGTAAAGGGAAGGATTTGCCGGAACTAGAATCATGGAAACGTCAGCACCAATTCCATATGTCTCTCAAAGCAAGCTAACAAGAAAGCAACAGTAGATCGTCAAATCTGTCGATAATACGGCCGGTTTGTTGGACTCTATTCCGATTTTTGGTTAAAACTGTTTCGAAGGCGTAATTCGACGCAGGATCTCATAGAATGTCTTCGCGGATATACCGAGGTGACGGAAAAATTGGTCCGCATAGACGTTCCGGTCGACGTTCGAAATAAAACAAAAGCGCGATTTCGATCATACTACTTAATAGTGAACTAATTCAACTCACGTTTCGTCTGGTGTAAAATGCCAGATTTTATGGGGATCATGTGCAAATCAATTCTGAGCCAATTTGGGATGCGATGTTTTACCGGTTACTATATTCGATATAATGTCCCCGTTTACCAGTTGCGCGTGCCGACTCTTTACAAAGGACACTGAGAACAGCTTCATAGTCGTGTTTGTTAAAAACTGCATTGCCAACTCCCTCAGCAGTGCTAATGCAATTTCGAAATCACCTCCAATGTGACTCCTTGGCGCGTAGAGTGGATTCCGTTTAGAAGCACTGGGGATTTTCGGAAACATTCCTGTTGTCTATAAATTCAGTACAGATTTTTCGTACAAATCATGTTATCTAATGGGGGAAAAATGAAAAAATGGAAAAAGCTTCACACCTTCCCTGAATAGAGGAAAAAATGTCAGTTTTCACGGCGAAATTTCATACAAAAATTCACTAATAATTGACAAGATAAAAGAAACAAATTATTTTTGCTTTCACATACAACTTGAGCACAAAGGAACAAAGTAATACGTCTATGCAATTGCAATCAGTGCGCGTGAATCTGTAAAAGTGTACCTGAACATACGATGTGGAAAATGAGGGGCGATTCGAGAGAAGCTTGTCCACATTCAAGCAAACTACTTCTTATTCTACAACGGGCGAAAACGAAGTAACTAGGCTGTTAGTCCCACGTCACGCAGAAAACTCCTAAGCCCCAAGAAGCCGGCCAGAGTTATATCGAAGATTCCGCTCTTTGTCGAGGGGATTTCCTAGAAAAAAGTTGTATGAATTTATCAGCAAAAGCTGTCTTCTCGAAAATTCGCAGTGCCAGAGAGTACTGCGAAAGAGGCAGATCAAGCATTATGTGAGCTGTGCAAAAGATGGTAAGAATATAGCACTGTCTAGCAAATCAGGAACTGGTATTCATACGTACTCCGGACGGGTTTGGGTGAGTTTTGCCGTGTGTGTGTACTGGTGTGTACTGGTGTACTGGTGACACCTGTGATAATTTGGTGTTTCATCTATATCTGGCACATCAAGATGGCCATTGAAATCATCTTGCAGGCGTATTGCGCTCACTGGGTGTCCAGTAGGCCATAGCTTCTGGTGATTTATTCAACAAAGTAAGGGTCCTATGTACAAAATTATTGAGCGTGATTTGCTTCTCAAATTTCAATAAAATATCTTGTCGGTCTTTTTGTTGAACAGATTTCAGTGCTGACTAAACGATACTGGTAATGGGTCTTAAATTGAAAATGTTCTGGGTGTAGTCGAAAGGTCTTAGATCTACAGTTGAATCAAAGAGTGAAACAGTAGACCGAGGCGCTACGCCGATGTACAAAATAGCAAACACTGAAAAGTGCGTGAAAGACTAAGTTAAGTCTTCCGTGAGAATACATTCAGCCTCCGATCTGTGGCCTCGAACTTATATCAGGTTAAAAAGGATGCATCGATCAGGAATCAGCTGAGTGTACTCCTAAAAGTGTGAATTAGGAAAGGGTCCCTGACAGAACCATAGTGTTCAATATCGCTTCCTGGAAAAATTCCGGAAATCTAAGTGAAGATAATATGTTGTGCTCAATTTGGTCCTAAAAATATCGGGTGAATGATGCGCTGGATATTAAACGCGACCGAAATATGACTGCCGGAGAATTGTTAGAGCAATCGATCACGTTATGCGAATTTCTTGTCGCCCCTATGTAATTATGTTGAAACTTTCCCACTCATCTTCGTCCTCGTTAGCCGACAAAAGCGTGCAGGGTTCGGCCAAAATTTTCAGCCGATTGAATCCCACTAAATGCGTTGGAGAAAGCACGATGATTCCCCACATCCACCATTTAACGATAAGTTTGTGCCTTCTGTACATTTTTTCGCCGTTGAACACCAATTTTCAATGTATGCTGATTTTAAAATGGTGCTGGGGTGCAGAATATTTTACGCCTCTAAACTTCCAGAATTTAGAAGAGCGATAAAAAAACTGTACAAAATAGGAGAGAATTGGAAGCTGTTCATGGATTGTACTAAAAGATACTTGGTTTCATTTGTGTCTATTTGTTCCACCCACTTATACACTGTGGGCATTTCAAAACAATGTGCCTACAGGAATGCTAATTATGAGACTTTGTTGTTCGCATTGCTCTCAACAAGGTTCATCATCAGCCTCCCACAGGCAGTCTCACTTAAATTACTCGGAGTCTGTGAACAGCGTTGGACGTAAACAGGTTGGCTTCTTTCTATTTGTGTGCAGAACTTTAAGCGTAATGGGTCAGTGGGTAGAAAAATTGTACCGATATGGTGTCTCCCATCTTCTACAATGTTATATTTCCCACAGACCCTGATCTTCCGTCCTCTATAGGGACGAAATTGAAAACGTTATTACTTCTTGGTGACACATGAAATGTGCTGCGCTTCATTTCGATTCACAGCAGCGACACCTCAACTTCTACGTCAAGGCATACACTGATTAAGGGCGAGGACGATTTGGGTGAAAAATGCGGAGGCTATTATACGGATTGGGAATTAAAAAACATACCGATACAACGTTCCAAGAGGTGAAGATCGGTGAACGGAGTGCTTGCGTAATCTGCAATTTCA